TTGGCCACCGTGCCTGAGCTTGGGTCTGGCTTATGTCTTCCAAGCCTCAGCAGGCAATATGAAAGCCCAGAGGACTGCCAGGGAAGCAGGACAGAGTAAGGGTGAACCTGCGCTACCTTGGGTTCCTAGAAGTGGCTCAACTGGCACTGAAAGAGGCGAGCCCCTGGAGATCTTTATGGGAAACATAAAACCAGGCCCCAAGCCTCAAAAACAGCACTGGGCAGTAAGGAAGGCTCTGATTCAGGCCCCAGTTCTGGCTTCCACTAGTTATGCTATGTGGAGCAAACTGCTTCCCTTTGCCTTTCTGAGCTTTTGTTTACCTCATAGGTAAGCACCTTATTTTGCAAGGTGCTAAGCAAATTAAAGGATCCCTACAGATTAGGGTGGGAAGCACATAGAGCAGAAGGACTTACAAATCTGCTATTGGAGGGATGCAAATATACATGCTGAAGGACAGGGGAAAGAGAAAGGAGTGGAGGGCCTTGCTAGGAAGGAAAGGAGGAGGCAGCGGCTGGGCACAGACTGGGGCAGAGGGAAGCGCTGCAAGTGATAGCATTTGTGGAAGCCCCGTGTGCGCCAGGAGCTCTGCTAAGAGCTGTGCACACATTAGCTCACGCTGCTCTATCAAAGCCATGTAGTGTGGTTTTATTCTCATTTTCCTTGCATCAGGCAGGACAGAGGAGTTTAATGGAATTTGATGTCAGGGTGAGAGCAGAGTGGGAGAAGAAGATGTTCAACAAACCTAGGTTAATGCAATCAGGATGGAACAATCAGAAATAATGTCCCTTTCCAACATGGGTTCCTTTCCTGAAATGCCATCAGTTCGTTTACCTGTTCTTATTTGCCCTTCCTGGAGAGTCCATTTCTGCGCTCTTCCTCTCTCTTTTTCCCGTGTCCTCCTTTCTCTTCCTCTTCCCTCTCACTCTCCCCTCCCTTTCACTCCCACCCCTGGATCCCCTTTCCATCTCATTTCATGTCAGTGTTTGGTGCTTTGTTGCTGACAGGATCGTGTTTAATTCAGACATTGACAACAGATTATATTTCCACCCATCCTCCACACCCTCTCTTCCTCTGACTCTTCTCCCTCCGTTTCTTTCCTCCACACTGCTGTTCCCTCTCCCTCTTTCCTCCCTCTTCCCTTAGGGTAGAACTAACGAAGGTACCCCTGGCCCAGGAGGCCTTCCTAGCATGTTCCATTAGTGTCCCATACCACTGCTAAAAGGATTTCCCCCCTTTCTTTTTTTTTTTTTTTTTTTTTCTTTTTTCCTCTTTAAACCAAGATCATGAGCTCATGCATCTGTTAGGAATCTGGCTGAGTTGGCAGCTGCAACTACAGGCCAGGAGAGGCTTGAACCTGGAGCAAGTCCTGCCCACCAAGGTAGACTGAATCTGGGGGGAGGGGTGTTCTGATAACTGGCGTTTGGTCGAAGGAAGTAAAGCCAGGTTAGGGGCCATCAGAGGAACCTGGCAGGAGGTAGTTGGCAGAGGCTGAGAAGCCAGCGGATGTCAGAAATGTGGAGCAGCTGGTAGAAAAGACTCAGGAATGGGGAGGAAACTAAAGGACTTGCACCCCAGAACTCTAGACTCCAAGGACCTGGGTCTCCAGGAAGAGAGAAGGAGGTAGAGACCCAACTATTGCAGCTGGGGGAACTAGACAGAACTCTGTTGGAAGAAAAAGGTAAAAGTTGGGTGCTAGGATCTAGCAACAAAGGCAGAGAAAGAACAAGGTCAGCAGCAAAACCAACCTGAAGACTCAAGAGGAAGCTCCCCTGCTGTTCTTCGGTTCCAGGGAGACCCCTTATAATTCAGGACATTGTTGGCTGCACACCCTTGGCAGGGAGTGAGAGCTCTGCTGTGAGAGGCCTTCCAGGGCTTTGCCTTTTCCCATCTCTCTCTGTGTCCTACTCTTGGCCAGCTCTTGGAATTGCGGAGCCACCCTACCACAGTATGGGGACACACAAAGCACATCCACACAGAGGCAGGCAAGCATTCAGACTTCAAGCCATCTTGCCACAGACTGACACGATTTGTCTGCATCCTCCTTCCCACGTTTCCCCCACCTCTGAGGAGCTCTGAACTTTCTACCCAGCTGCTTCCAAGGTTCCACAGTTTCCTTCTTCTAGTACCCCTTTCCTGCCTGCATCCTGCCTACAAGAGTTTGCCTCTAGCTCCCCACTCAGGCTGTGCTGAGCTGACTCTCTGGCCAGCAGAAAGACTCCTTCCTGTATCTGCTATATCCCTCTATGGAACCTGAAATGCACCGTCCCCTGGGCTTGAAGCTTCTCTACAGGAGCTTCTGCCCAGCCTTACCCTTACTTGCCTTCCCTCAAAAGGCTGTTGTGCCTATGTGCTGCTCCGGCTGCACCCACACGCTGCACCCGAGTACCATCAGCTGTTTGTGTACACTCGGGGAAGGGACCACACTATGGCACCACTCTGTTTAAGGAGGGGCCACTTCCTTCCACCTCTTAAACTTTTCTCTTCTTTCACAGTTTATGGTTTCTCATTTTCACTAGTGCTGTTTCTCCATATCCTCATAAAACATTCATTTCTTTTGGGACAGTCAAGTCTAAAATATCATTCCACAATCTTATTTGCAGATCTTAACATTAAACCATTTTGGGTCTTTGTTGTCTTGTTTTGTTTTTTCAAGTTTGGTGCCAAAACTCATCTGGTGACAAAACATGACCTAAACTGATAGGAGGCCACTTTACTTTCAAACCTATTTAGTATAAAAATCCCTACATTTCATTGCAGGAATATGAATGTGTCTGATTTAGACTTGCTGCTCCAAACCTCATGGAATGGTTCAACATGTCTGGTCCCTTTCTGGATTCTAAAAAACACCCCTGGCTTCAAGGGTTTCAGAATAAATGTAGAAGATTTAGAGGGTTCAGGAATTGCAGGATCAGAACTATGGGGCTCCAGGCTCACAAGCTCAAGTCCTGAAACCAGACTACATTTTCTAACACCTTTTTGGACAGAATGACTGTCATATCCTATTTCTCTACCCTTTTTGGCCCCTCTGGTCTGTTATCCCCTTAGCTGGCTGGCTGCAGAAAAGCGTGAGATCATTACAGAGTTGTTTTGTGCAGGGCACCCATTCACATCTGGATGGCTAATACTGATAATTACCACACTGGCAACTAAATCTGCCAAGTTTAGGTGAGGTGAGCTCCACAGCTGGGGCTGCTGCTCGCAGCTTCCCAGGCAGAGAAAGGTGAGAACACAATCAAGAAAAGTGTGCTCAGATGCCCGGTATTGAGTGAAACTGGTTAATTACCAGTCACTTGCTGTCTCCTCAAGTTGGAATTTCTGGCTAAGGAATGCTCATGGATCAGATAGAATCTGACAACCTGCAACTTATTTCCACACTAAGAGAAACCAAGATGCAGAGGGCCACTGTGGAGACAGTCTCTTGGATGCCAGGCCCATGCCACAGGATGCAGATGCCCTTGGAACACGGTGGTGGCATGATCCGGCAGGGTGCAAGCTAACTGCCCTTCTGATGGAGAGGGCCAGGGATAAAAAAATGTGTCCTTGGAGGTAAAGCCTATTTGCTACTAGATGAAACCATCTAGAGACCATCTAGAGACATAGATTAAGTTCTAGTGGCCCATGAACCCCCCAATTGCATGCCCACATGTATATGTGAGTAGTGTTTTTCCTAGGAAATAGGCCCACAACATTTATCAGATTTCCAGAAGATGCAGAAGTGTCTTTGATTCTCCCAAAAGGAGGGTGATTATAAACCATTGTCCTAGACTCCTAGAGAAACAGGTCGTCAATTGGGTAGAACTATCAGTCTCATGGTCCCTAATCATACCATTGCACTCAAGAAGTGTGTGTGTGTGTGTACATATATTTTAGAAAAAGGATTCAGTAACTTTTGTCAGGTTCTCAAAGAGGTCCACAACCCTTATAGAGTTAAAAACAGGAGCTTGGTAACAGCTCAAAAAACTAAAAGGGTGTCTATATTTCGCTACTACTTTTCAGAGGAAGATTATCATAGAGACCTGAAAATAGGGCTCCAATACAGTTATTCTGTTCCAATGTCTGGGAAAACAGGGCCCTTCCCGGGGCTGGCTGGCAGGGTCCTCTAGAAAGGATCACGCTGCTGTTGTTTTAAGAGTCAAGTGCCCAGAAGCCAGGCTAGTGGGAAATGATAGCAAAGGCTCAGTAGATGGAAAAAGTCTTAGCTCCTTCCCCTCTGATGGCAAATTCCCAGGTCTTTCTCTTTGAAAGCCCTCTGCTCCCAGCTTTCTCAAACCCAAAGCCTTTACTCAGAAACTCAAAATTCATTCAATACCTATTGGATGCCTACTATGTGCAAGGATCTATTTTATGTACAAAATAAGAGACTTGCCTTCAGAGTGTTAGCGACCTAGGCCAGTTTCAGCCCCGACATGGGTATTTTGGGAGGTGCTGACCAAGCGCATTCTTTTCAAAGCTGAGCCCCCACTCCGCCCCCCCCCCACCACCTTGCGGGCCCTGGTCCAGTGAGGAAGAAGCCACCTCACCCACCACTGAGGGATGGGGGGCAAGGAGGGATTATGTAGCACCCAAGGGCAAAGCAGTAGGGGCCACAGCTAGTGGGCTAGGCCCAGCCCTGGCAGTGGAGAGCGGGACTGGGCGGGGTGAGGACTCGGCTGGCAGGGCGGGGAAGCAGACGCTGCCCAAAGCTGTCTTGGCCGCCGCGCCGTATCGCGGAGCCGTGCTCGTCCGCTCCCTTCCTGTTGGGGCCGTCGCGAAGCTCTGCTCCCCATACTGAGCAGTCCCCGGGAGGCGCTGAGGCGCTCGGACACGTCCCCAGGCTGGATAAAGATCGGCTCGGCGCTCGCTCCGCAGCGCGAAATCTCGCCATCAGCGCAGCTCCGCGGCCACTCCGGCCCGCCCGGCGACGCCAGATCGCTATCTTGTGGGGAGGGGGCCACCACTGCTCCCGCCGGTCCCTCCGCCCCGCACGCGAGGTGGCTGCGGGGTCCTGGGGCTCGCCGTGCTCCTGACCCCCTTTGCATTCCTTCTTGGAGCTCCCTCCTGAGGGACCTCCGCTCCCAGCCGATCCAGGGCCCCCAGCGCCCCGCCAGGTCCCTCTTTCCTCTCGCCAGGCCCCGCTGCCTCCTGAAGGTTACGCGACGCAGCGGCGGGGCGCAGGGGGGCGCCCGCCCTCGCCGCCCACCCCCGCGCCAGCCGCGGCGCGCCGAGCTGGGCCAGCAGCGCTGCTGGCTGCTGCCACCGCAATCCCGGCTCCTAAATCAGCGCGGGGAGGCGCCCCTTCCCCCATCCTGCTCCCCGACTCCCCGGGCCGCGATTGGCCGAGCGGGCGCCCCCCAACCCTGGGCCCCCGGCTCCAGCCGCCACGCCATTGGCTGCGGGCCTCCGCCAGCCTTTACATAAGCCCGGGCGCGCTCAAGTGGAGTTGTATAAAGCGAGCGCGCGGCGTCGGGGCGGGAGGCTCGAGGCCAGCCCGGGACCGGGACCGGGAGCTGCAGACGGCGGCAGAGGCGGCAGTGAGCGCCCGCGCTCCGACGCCCCCAGGCGGCGGGGCTGAGAGGGCACGAGGATGGCGCCCAACGCGGCCCCGGGCGTGAGTAACTGCTCTCGGAGCCCCCACCCCCTCGGGCGGAGAAAGTTTCTTCAGGTTTATGGGCCCCTCCCCATGCGAGCTCAGGGGCGGTGGGGATGCTTCCGGGAACCAGGGAAGACAGACCCCGAAGGCGATGGCTTTGCTGCCAACTTGCCAAGGGGCAATAGCCTCATTTGGCGCGCGGAGCCTCCCCTCGGCTAGGGGCGGCGGGCTAGGGGTGAGGCGGGCGCCGGGATGGAGGCAGCAGGGAGGTGGGAACCAAGGTGTAGGGACAACACGGTACTGGCAGGAAAGGTGTTGGGGAACCCTGGAGGTCAGCTGCTTGAGGAGGGGACGCGGGAAGTGGGAGGGGGTGAAACAGGTAAGACAGGCTGTGCAGGGGGCTTGGGGAGTCGCCCAGCTGGCCAGACTCAGCTTCTGGCCGGGAAGGATACTCGCCTCGGCGAGTGTTTAGCCTCCAGTCTGGGGGAGAGCCCCTAGAGAGCCAGCATTTCCTCCCCCGGGAAGCCGAGCTCTCCCCTGCACAGAGCTGGGTGGCAGAGAGCTCCGGGAACCAGCCCGCGCGCGGTGTAGCTGCCAGCCGCCTTTTGCTGGACCGAGGTGTGGTCTCATTTACAGGCTGTCTTAGGCAAGCCTGCTTTAGGCATTCCAGGAGAACCGGGCCCCCTTGGGCGGTTGGAAACACACAGAGGTGTTCGTGGGGCCGCAGGCCGGACTTGGGGGCATGCCCAGCAATGCAGCGTGCTTCTTTGCAGTACAGTAGTTGGGAACCCTGGTTAGCCTCGATTCTGCAGAAACCAACTCAAGAATCCAAAGTCATTCCAGCCAGGATGGGAGCCTCCCTCGGGGTGGGGGTGGGGGCTTCCTCTGTGGATGACTGGTGTATCTTGTTGCTGCCAGTAGTGGGTTCACTCAGTGTGGCTTCTGTGCAGCCCTAGAGGTGCTTCAGTTCTCCAACCAGGACACATTCTTGAGTTGCACTTGAGGTACCTTCCAAGACTTGCCAAGTTAAGCCAGGTGGAAAAGAAAGCAGGGATTCTGACAGTAGAGGACAGCTCGCTCTATGGTGCTGGCTGGGTGAGAACTTGTGGGCAAAGAAAAGCTATGGGTGGGAGATTTTAAGCCCTTACAACTTGGGGCACGAAATGCCCAAAACTAAATTAGAGCAAATTCTGACAACCATGCTGTCCTCCAATCTCAGCCACGGGGAAGGAGAGGTGGAAGACAAAAGAGCAGGAACATGGCGATTGTTCCACTGTGGTGCTCGAGGAAGCGTTTGCTCACTTACTGACTTGGTTACACACATCTTTCTGGCAACAAGTCCTAAAAATCAATTCCAGGGCAATGTTGAGAGTTTAGGGGCTTGGTGCTAGCTAGCCTAGAGGGCCACAGTTAGAACACCCACACTTCAGTTGGTCTTGACGGACGCTGGAGAAGGCCAAAGGTATGTGATGGTTACCTGCTCTTGAGCTGTTCAGCTGGGGCTGTGGCCTTCACCTCACTCCATTCCTGAGCATCAGCATATGTTCAGACTCCTAGCTTGACTGCCTCAGCCTGGAGATCTTTTATGGGAACCATCAGTCTACACCCAAGCCCAAGCTCCATCCTCTGTCTGCTTGTAGTCAACATTTTTCTGGTATGTTTCCCAAGACCTTCTCTCCATTGGGGATTTGTGCAGTGAAATACCTGCTTGTTGCTCTTTCTTCCCTGTTCTCCATCTGGACTGCACCTGGTGTTCTTCTGAACTCTGGTGTTTATTCTCTTGGTGCCTTGATGTTTGGTTAACGCATCTTACGGCTGGCTACACAGGGGTGCCCCAAGAGTGTGTGGACTTGTCTGATTCTAGGGCTGAAGCATAGACTCTTACAGAGATTGGACTAGGAGTAATTGTCTGTTAAACAGCTGTAACAGCCTGGGTTGGTTGTCAAAGCTTCCTTGTTGCTTGCCAAGTTAGTGGAAGCTTAAAGGTAGAGCAAGACCCATGGTGTGCAGTAGGGGGCGCCAAAAGTACCTAGCTCGGGACCACTGACTTTCTCTCTTCTTGCCCTTCATTGGCCATAGTGGCTTAATGTTTAAGCAAGCCCAGACCACAGTTCCCAGCTTTCACCGTTGTGGTGGGAACCTTTCTATCTATCATATGCTTTCTGGACTTGAGGTGGTCCTGTGGCCTCAGATGCAAGCACTACATTCCAAAGAGCCGGAGCCGGAGCTCCACACACTCCCTGATATTCCTTTGTGCTTCATTCTGGTGTATTCTTTGAACACATTAAGGGCTCAGAGAACCCAAGAACATCAGAGGCAGAGAAAGGAGCTTTAGGAAGCATTTACTCCAAGTTTATCCTAGCACCAACATCCACATGTACACTTAAATTACAGACGACAAAGCTGAAACCTGCTAGTATCTTGCTCAGGATTACATAGCTATTTGGTGGAAGAGATAAAACCAGATCTTATAATTTCTAGTTGTCCATTCAGTGCTCTTTCCACTCTACTGAGAGATGGATACGTGTTTTCTATGTGGTAGGTACTGGTAATTACTAATTGACCAGACTTTGGTAAATTAATAACTTTAGTAAATTTAGAGAAATTTCCTTTAAATTTGTATTTGGATAAAGATAGAGATAAAGTGGGGGTTCATGTGTGTATACACAGATCATTGAAATTCTTAATTATTCTTTCCTCTTCCTCCACTATCTTGTTTCAAGCAGTCTTTCCAGCAAAAGCCATGCAGCTCCAAGCTTATGTCTCTGCATTTAGGAGCCAGCAGTGCCCAGGCTCTTGCCGCGGTCCTGGAACCCAAGCCTGGATTTCTTCCTTTCCTCTGCCAAGATGTGCTGAGATGGGGTCTCTGTGGCCTGTGGTCACTCCCTTGCTGGTGGGACATCTCAAACACATATCCTGAATGAACTGGAACATTTCCAACGTGTTCCTGTCGATGTCCACTATCCTTGTTGCTCCTACCTCAAGGTCAGAGGGCAAGGATGTTTTGTTTTTGCAAAATCCTCATGTCTCAGCTTCTTGGGTGAGCTGGAAGGCACCACCATTTCTGTTGCCCTTTATTTTGTTCTGAGAGTCTGGCTATTGACATATGTGAAAGGTTTTGGGGAACTGGCTCTGCCGTGTGGTCCATGGGCTGCCCCCTCTCTTTTTTTTTCTCTTCACCTAGTGTCTTTTCATGCTGGGATTCTTCTAGAACCTTGGCAGACTTGATGGGCTACTTTCAGAATTCTGAGAGGTGGAAACTCATTGGTCCCTGAGGCTCACCCAGGGGGTGTTTGCTGCCAGGGAAGATGCTCAAGGTTGGTCATTTCACTAGACTCGCAGTCAAGGTGGATCTTCATCTGGAAAGGAGGATGGAAGCGAAGATACGCGGCCCACCAGAGGGCAACAGCCCCTTTCCTTAAGTGGGCTTCCAAGCTGCTGAAGATCTTTCCCAGCTCCCTGCTTTAGCAGGAATAATAGCTCTATCTTCTCAAGGCTTGGTCTGATCCTGGATAAGGCCAGAGGAATATAACTACATAGAATATGAATAGGTTGTGAGCTCTCTGCACTTTTTTTTTTAATTTAATGGTGACAGAGGAGAATAGAGTTTGAGAAATGGCATTAGACACAGAAAACAAGATGTTGTCCCTATCATGTGTCCACCTATGTGGCTGCCCTGACCTGCTTTCATTGGAATGGTAAGGACACTGGCTTGAGTCTCTCTCCTCAGATAGTGGCTTAGAGACCCTGGACAAACCACTTGATCTCTGTGTGCCTTGGTTTGTTTTTCAGCTAAATAGTGAAGCTGGAAACCCTGTGAGAAAGGATGAGATCAGGGTGACAGTCTGTAGTGTATCTTTCCTTGGCAAGATCTTAAAAGGTATTCAGTTGGAAAGGGATATTACTGCTGGGTCACTGGGACCCACACAGGTGACCAGGCTGAGTGTCCAGGCATTACTGCTGGGTCACTGGGACCCACACAGGTGACCAGGCTGAGTGTCCAGGCATTACTGCTGGGTCACTGGGACCCACACAGGTGACCAGGCTGAGTGTCCAGGCATTACTGCTGGGTCACTGGGACCCACACAGGTGACCAGGCTGAGTGTCCAGGCATTACTGCTGGGTCACTGGGACCCACACAGGTGACCAGGCTGAGTGTCCAGGCTTGCTGCACAGTGGCCGCTGCTCACGGCAACATCTGGGTTGATGGATAAGGCCTTCTTGCCAAGGCTCCTTTCTTGCCTCCTTCCCTCCCTATGTCAGAGTTTTCATTTTGGGGTTCTACTGTGTTTGGGGAAGAGAAGTTTTACAGGTCTCAGGATAATTCTGAATGTGATGGAGGGCCCTGAGCTATTGATTCCTGAGGAAGGATCTTTCTTCTGGGAGAAGCCTTCCTCAGCACCCAGTGATTTAAGAGCGCTGACAAATCCCTGCTCATTGAGCCTTCTGCAGGCTGCAGATACAGGCTTTGGGGCCAGTTTGGACGATAGGAGGGATTTCTGGGGAGCCTGCCTGGTTACTTAGGGGACATAAACCTGTGAACTCTCTTTAGGAGAAAGTATGAAATCAATTGGTTCATTATCACACCAACACTGTGGACCACTTAAGGTGCTTAAGAACCAAGAAGTAGCGAAGGAGTGAGAAATCATACTCGAAAAGTGTGCAGAGAGGTTTGAAGGGGTTGACAAAGAGGAGGTGACAAGGAGACCTTTGTTCCACTGAACTGCTCATGATCTTGGCTTTATTGAAATCCTCGGACAGTGACTAAAGAGGTTATCTGGCAATGTCTGGAAGCATTTTTCTTATAACTGGATTAAGGGATGCTACCAGCATCTAGTGGGTAGACACCAGGGGTACTGCTGAACATCCTCCAAAGCCCTGGGAAGCCCTCTCAACAAAGAGGTTATCTGGGCCCAAGTGTCAGTAGTGTCAAGGCTGAGAAGCCCTGACTAAAGCGCTGCAGCCCAGAGTCACAGCAGCAGGTTAGAGGTAGCGGGGGGAGTTTGGAAATATTTTTC